GCACGGAGAAAAGAATCAATCACTCGAAACAATAAGGTAAGGAGTTTTTATTTGATTATTATGTTTGATCTAAGTGGTAGATAGATGTAGGATTCACCCTTAGTATTGACAATGGTGATTTGATGTTGTTGGGTTAATATTTGATGGAATTATGATGATGGATGACCCGTAATTGTTGTATAATTGAGGTATTTTATCAAATTGTTGTTAGGTGATGATTCCCAATGATTATATAGTGTTTTAGGGCCTATAACATACTGAAATCGCAGGAAAAAGTGGTATGAAACAGTGCAGAATCGCAAACGGGAAAATCCTGTTCGCATGGAATCGTCGGGCGACGGTCCCTGTGTTTCCGGGCGATGATGTTCCTCTAGGCGAAAGAGGAGGCGGGCAAGTAATAAAATTGGAGATTTGGTCTCTGTAATGTGTCTTCGGGCGATGGATGGGTTTCGTCGGGCGATGAGAGGCAGAGCTAGATTGTTTGGATTGAAATCTTGAAACAAGCATAACTTTAGTTCTATAGCTCATAATGAAGTACTGTTCGAAGTTGTGTGTAGATGACGTATTATAATATAATTAGGTGAAATAAAATGGAGACTTAGGAATATTTTTATAATACCTAAGTTAGAGTAAGAATGGGTTCCCCGTGTTCAATCGCAATGACGATTAGTTTAACTATGATGATATGTTGCTATTATGATTATGTGATGACGTTATGGCGATGTTTTTATTACATGAGTATATATGATGATTACATGAGTATACTAGATAATTTTTTATGTATGATTTTTATTAATACATGAATGATGATACGTATGACTAGTTGTGTTCGTTGTTGTTACGCATCATGCATTCATGGGACAGCTTTGTTTCGTTTTGATGATTTAAGACGTTGGTCTAGTGATTTGGTTTTGATGATTTAGGATGTTGGTCCAATGATTAGGTTTTGATGATTTAGGACGTTGGTCCAGTGAATTAGTTTTAATGATTTAGGATGTTGGTCCAGTGATTTGGTCTCAACCCCATTGTGTGAATTTGGGATGTCTATGATTTGCTCTGGTTCCAAGTGGGAATCGATCTTATGATTGGGATCTTTGGAGGGTGATGGCCCAGTGTCCATCAAATGAATTGGTACCACATGCATGAGTCTTTGTCCTTGCACTACATCCTATGTGGCATTGCATAGTTCTTGAATTGATGATGTTGTATTATGTTATTGAAATCGTATGATTGTTGATGTACTTGGAATATAATAATGTTGTGTTTATGTTATGATACTTTTGGTTTATTTTGCTATGTCTATTACTTATATCTTATATAATGATTATGATAAACTTACTCTTTCTGCTAGAATGTTGCCTCTACGTGGATAATGTGCAGGTAATCGGGAGTAGTCCCAAAAGGCTTGGAAGAATAACTTTGGAGTGTATTTTATTTCCTTGAGTTAGAAGGTCTTGCTCTGATATATGATATTGGGGACAAGAATGTTTTATTTGAAACATGTGTTGTTTTTGTGTTGTTATGAAATTTAAATTATTTTTATGGAGTTTAAATTATGTTGAATTGTGAACCATGGATCATGGGGCACTATGAAGTGTTTTTAATGAAATTATTTGAATTATGATTCCGCTATAATATGTGAAATATTGATAATACGTATGTCATGAATAATATTTGAAAACCCGTGTTACGGAGTAAGACCAGCACGTATGATTATTTCACGAATAAAATGTGACGCCCTTTGTTGTATTACTCTGATATTATTTTAAAAATTATGAATATTCTGTTGGGTTTAGAAGGGTGTTACAAGGCTCGCCTTGTAGCCAAAAGTTCCAGGCAAAGAGAAAATATAGATTTCTTCGATACTTTTTCACCAATCACTACAATTACATCCATTAGAGTATTGATTTCAATGACTAATATTTATAACTTAATAGTACACCAAATAGATGTTAAAAAATATAAACAGTGACATAGAAGAATATATATATATATATGGATCAACCGGAAGGGTTTGTGATTCATGGACAAGAGAACAAGGTCTATAAGTTGGATAAGTCTTTTTGTGGTCTAAAACAAGCTCCTAAGCAATGACATAAAAAGTTGTATAACTTAATGATACTGAATTGGTACAAAGTGAATGAAAGTAACAAATGTGTATATTATAAATCTAAGAATCACATTTCGACTATCATATGTCTTTATGTAGACGATCTAATCATATTAGGATCAAACATTCAGGTCGTTAATGATGTGAAATCATCATTGTGCAACAACTTTGATATGAAAGATCTCAAAGATACGAGTGTGATTCTTGTGAACAAGATCACTAGATCCAAAAAAGAAATTTCTTTGGATCAATCGCACTATATGGAAATGATCTTAAAGAAATATAATTATTTTAAATGTAAATACGATTCAGACATGAAACTGTTTAAGAACACGGGTGATAGTGTCATACAAATGGAATATGTGAGCATCATTGGTAGTCTCAGGTATGCCACTGATTATACTAGACCCAACATTACATATGTCGTATAATTATTGTGCAGGTTACTAGTAGACCAAGTAATGGAAAATGACAAGCTATTGAGCGATTCATGTGGTACCTTAGGACCATGAATCTCGATTTACATTATCAGAGATTTTCTGTTGTACTTGAAGGATATAGTGATGCAGATTAGAATACCTCATCAGATGATTCTAAAGAAACTAATGGCTATATATTCAGTATAGTTGGAGGAGTTGTATCTTGGAAATCAAAGAAACAAACTATCTTTGCTCAATCCATGATAGAGTCTGAGATGATAGCATTAGCGAATTATAGTGAAGAAGAAAGTTGGTTAAGATGCTTGCTATTGAGATCCCTTTGCGGGAAAAAGTTATGCCAACTGTATAGATCCACTGTGATAGTAATGCGGCTATTGCAAAATTGAGAATTGTTGCTATAATGGTAAAAGACATCAAATTATAAGAAAGCACAACACTTTCAGAAATTGTATTTCTAAATAAGCTATAAGAGTGAATCATGTACGCACTGATGAAAATTTAGTTGATCCTTTGATGAAAGGATTAGCTAGAGAGAAATCCCATAATACGTCCAAGAAGATGAGACTAATGCCTATAAAAATTGAGTTGCTCATTATGGTAAACCAACCTAAATGACTGGTGATTCTAAAAAATGTGTACAATGGGTAATAACAAATTGTGAGTAATATGAGATGGTCATGCGAGTATAAATAAGTAAAGCAAGAATCCTGAAGTAATAAGAAGATGAGATAATATAAGCTCTTAATGAGATCTATACTTTGTATGAGGAAGTACCTAGACTACATGAGTACTCTTGATAGACTCACTTATGTGATTGTGGAACTTAGGCCGGTTTCTATGTCAAAATAAAGTTCTTAGAGCCTTCACTAAATCGGAATACACGTGCAGAACTATTAAAGCATGGGCTTTTAGAATACACCTTAAGAAAATGTTATCTGCGGGTTTGATATCTAAGATAGAGTTCAAGACAATTGTGTAGCTCTTGTTGAATCGAAATCCTACTTGCTACACAAAATTTCAATTTGTAAATACCTTTTTTATGCATAATTTTAAAAACGTTTGACGTTACTTCTAAAAATATTTTTTCAAATTCAAGTAGGAGATTTTTGAAACATTATGTCAATATTCTAATACAGGGAGATGAATTTTAAAAAGTTCCTTAAGCCAAAGTCACACAATGTGTTAGTTGAAATAACTCTTTAGTCCCGCATTTACTTAGGTGAGATATCATAGCTAGCTCACTTCATTATATAAAGAAATTCCTTATTTCATTCCAAAGCACACCAAAAAAAATTATTTTGAGTATTTTCCTTCCTCACTCTCATAATTTTACGTCTTTTGAACTCTCGAAACGCCAACTTCTCCCTCTTTCTTTCTACTCGTTGAATTTTCTGGGTACTTTCTTGAATTCTCTTTAGAGAATTGTGTTAATTTCTCCTCGTTTGAGTTTGAGAAATTATCAAGTATAATTATTCGAATTCCTTTTTGTTTGAGAAATCATTTTGAGTGTTCAAATGATCATTATTGAATTTTCTTTAGAGAATTATTAGAATTTCTCTTGGTTTGAGAAATCATTACGATCGGTCGGTATACCAGATACTACGAGTGATATTTATATCATATTCGAATGATCTTTGTACCATCAGAGGGTGTATCTCTAAACTGATTATCTATTGTGCAAGTAGTAATCGTACCGTATAGAATTGAATTGTTTTATCCTAGAGGCGATGCAGTAACTCAAATAGTTTACATAATTTTAGACAATGTCGCAAAACGTTTTAAAGAGAGCGACACAATCCGCGATTCAATCCGATAATTTCTTCTGCGGCTGATTTTTCAAAACTCTAAAACATCAAACAATTTAATTCCTGTTTAGGCCGAACAATTTTAAATAATATGAAATCAATACTTAAATAAATAAATGTCTAAAACATCAAACAATTTAATTCCTGTTTAGGCCGAACAATTTTAAATAATATGAATCAATACTTAAATAAATAAATGTCTAATATATTTAACTTGGTTTGATTTAGACACTAATTTAATTAATTAGAAGTAGATTAGTTCTTACTACAAGTATATTGTTTAATTTTTATATAACGAGCTCTATCATATATGTCCAATTATAGTTTACAATATACTCTTACAATATTAGTGTTTTTTCTGTCATTCTTGCTTGAAACTAATTATTTAAAGATTTGAAATACTAATTTAATGAATATATTGGATACTAATGACTCGATAAAAAACAAACGGTGTCTCGTAGTGGAAAGGGTTTCCACCAATATAAGATTCCCACAAAGCAAAGCATACATAGTTTCTTACACATTCATTCCCCAAGGCATTTCCTATATATAAATGCATCTCACTCATACTCTTACTCCTCACTCACAAAACTCATTCAATATATCTGTCCTCTTGTTTCTTCACTCAATAGTAGCTCCATTTCTATGGCTTTCATAGTCTCACCAACTATAATGAGAAACTCCATTTCATTGCAAACTAGAGTTGTTTGTGATATGCCTGATAACTCTTATAAGGATAAGTTTTTATTTAGAAACAAGGGCATTTATAAGGGCACACGCAACCTTCAAGATCATTTGGCCGTCGCAAATGTTGCGAGCCCGTCGCGTGTGATTGCTCCGCCTCCACCGCCGGAGAAACTTCCGGGGGACACCGGTGGCCAACACCATGTTGCATGGACTAGTGTCCCTCAAGAAAGATGGGAAGGAGAACTTCTTGTTCAAGGACATATTCCACTTTGGCTGGTAGGTGATTTTTTTTTCTCCAACATTGATATATTTTTAAAATAATGTTTAATTTATTGAATATAAATAAAAGTAACTAATTCTATATTCATTAAAAATTAATTAATTAAATTTTCAAAAAAAAAATTTAATTAGTTAACAATTATTCTTCTTAATTTTATAAAAAATAAGTATATTTTGTTGTATTAAAAATAAAATTTATATTATTTTTTTTAGAAATAATATCATTAAACTAAATAGTAATATTTGAGAAAGCTAAATATGGCTATTTTTTTTACAAAAAAAAAAGACTATTTTTTTGCTTCTTACATTCAATATAACATCATTTGTTATTATTCTGATATATTTTTTATTAAGAGAATGAGGACAGTAATAATTAAACTCCAAACCACTAATCCATTATAAAGATTAAAATATCATAAAATGAATAAACTATTCTAAAAGCTTAAGTTCTAAATATAGATATAAATATGTGGATAATTTTATTTATATCTATCGCTGTAGCTTCTAACCTCTGCTTAAATTTTACCACCAATATTATTATTAGTCGAGTTCTACTTGATTGTTTTATTGAAACAACCAAATATAAAACATAGACAAAGTGGAAAACAACAGAAATATTCTTGTCTCAAAACCTCCATATAAATTATTAAAAATGAAAGAGCTGCTGATTCTACACGTAATATTGGTTTGTGTTTGTCCAGTATTGTACTAATGTGTCAGCAAATGGAACCCAGCAGAGTATATTACTAGAATCAAGAATTTAATATCAAATTAATTAAAATAAATAATTGATCTTATACTATGTAATATCAAAGCATCTTTGAACACCCATTGATACACTATGATACACAAATGGCATCATGTTGTTGGCATGAAAAATCAATTCTATATGAATAAAATATTCAGTTATTATTTTTTAATTTTGGTAGTATATATGTATGAGATGATTTATAGTAAATACTAATAACTTGGTACGTATTACACATGCAGAAAGGAACGTACATAAGGAATGGTCCAGGCATGTGGAACATAGGAGACTACAATTTCAGGCATCTCTTTGATGGCTATGCCACCTTGGTTGGACTTCACTTTGAGAATGGGCAGTTAACCGCCGGTCACCGACAAATCGAATCTCAAGCTTATCAAGCAGCAAAGAAAAATCAGAAGATATGTTATCGTGAATTTTCTGAAGTGCCTAAGGCTGAAAATTTCTTAGCTTACGTAGGGGAGTTAGCGAGTCTTTTCTCGGGTTCCTCGCTTACCGATAATGCCAACACTGGTGTGGTGAAGCTCGCCGATGGGAGGGTTGTTTGTCTGACAGAGACACAAAAAGGGTCTATAGTGATAGATCCTGAGACGCTGGAGACAATTGGAAAATTTGAGTATAGTGATTCTTTGGGAGGACTTATTCATTCTGCACATCCCATTGTGACGGATAAGGAGTTTTTAACGTTAATCCCTGACCTTGTGAAACCAGGATACTTGGTGGTGAGGATGGAACCTGGCTCTAATGAGAGGAAAGTTATTGGGCGAGTCGATTGTCGAGGCGGATCATCGCCCGGTTGGGTTCATTCCTTCCCTGTTACTGAACACTATGTTATTGTGCCTGAAATGCCATTGAGGTATTGTGCTCAGAATTTGCTCAGGGCTGAACCAACTCCTTTATACAAATTTCAGTGGCATCCTGAGTCAAAAGCTTTTATGCATGTAATGTGCAAGACTAGTGGAAAGATTGTAAGTACATATTAATTACATTTCATAGCTGACGTGATAGAATATGATGAGTTGTATTAGTGTTTCACTTATTAGTTTTGTAGTTAATTTGGGTGTGTGATTTTGAAGGTGGCAAGTGTGGAAGTGCCTCTATTTGTTACTTTCCATTTCATAAATGCATATGAAGAGAAAGATGAAGATGGGAGGGTGACTGCTTTCATTGCTGACTGCTGTGAGCACAATTCAAACCCCGGCATTCTTGACAAACTTAGATTACAAAACCTTCGCTCATTTAATGGCAACGATGTTCTACCAGATGCTAGGTTTGTTTTTGACATCCTGATTATTTTATTTTATCTCTTCCTGCAAGGCCATAATTGAATGCATATACCAGATCAAATGAAATTGATCTAAAATCAATGTTTATTATAACAGGGTTGGTAGGTTTAGAATACCACTAGATGGAAGTCCATATGGAACATTAGAAGCAGCATTAGACCCAAATGAACATGGGAGAGGCATGGATATGTGCAGCATAAACCCTAATTATTTAGGGATGAAATACAGATATACATATGCTTGTGGAGCACAACGCCCTTGTAACTTCCCCAACACCCTCACCAAGGTTACTTGGCATTACATCTCACAATTTTTAATGTCTGTCCAATTTAACTCTACAAACATTTAGTTAAATGTGCTTTGACATGCAATATGTAGATTGATCTAGAATCGAAAAGGGCTAAGAACTGGTATGAAGAAGGAGCTGTGCCCTCGGAACCATTCTTTGTGCCTCGACCAGGTGCAACCGAAGAAGATGATGGTAAGAACTCTTATGATTAGTTGATTAATTCATGCCTCTGCAAGATCATCCCCCTCCTTGTTCTGAACTTGTTAACCCTCGTATGACAGGTGTGGTAATCTCCATAATCAGTGAGAAAAATGGAGAAGGATATGCCTTGGTGTTAGATGGTTCCACTTTTGAAGAGGTTGCTAGGGCTAAGTTCCCTTATGGTCTTCCATATGGGCTGCATGGATGCTGGGTTCCAAAACAATAAAAGTGACTAAAAACTGTCATTATCATAGTGAAACATCTGCTCGGAGAAACTACTTGCAAGCATCACATCTGTACAGTATATATTCTACAACTATCTATAAGTGCAAGCTGAGAGCAATACATAATCAGCAAGTACATGTATGATAAAGTAGCAATTATAGGGATTTCATATTAGTCGCAGCACTATAAAATTATAATTCATGTAAAATTCAAGAATATACATATAAAATTTGCAATTATACAGATTTTCTATCTTGGTTGTTCGCGTTTAAAACGCGTTAAAAGTCATGTTTGACTTGCATAAATGAAGTGAAAGACTTGTTGACGTGTCTAGCAAAATCATAGTAATCTACTTAAATGACAATTACATAAGACAATGTAGATAGAAATCTGAGGAGATAGTTGCAAAGGTTTTTCTTCGGAACCATCAAACCCGACTGGAAACAATTTTAATTTGTTTTGTTATTATGTAGGATTTTTCTATTTTTATTGAAGCGTTCAATTTGTTATATAATTAAGACAACAAATTATTTAAATAACCTCAATTATGAATCAAAAATTCAAAAATGAAATTCCCTTCCCAGAAAACATGCTTCTGGCTACCCTGGCAAAGGAAAAAAAAAACAGATTAGACAGTATACTAGCCAGATCTGCAATCTCTATTGATTTTTTGAGCCTAATTTGCATTTGTAAATAGACCATGTAAATATTGTAATATGGATTCCAAATTTTGAAGAATTACCATGATTTGTCTGCTGACCTGCTTCTTAAAAATATAGAAATTACTATTTCTGATCTGTATAAACAGCATCAACATCATCAAGCTCAAGTAATTTGCTCATAAGTTCTCTGTTCAAGTCCATAGCCTCATCATCTACCTGAAAAAAATAATAGCACATTACTCAAGTTTTATACCTGTAACCCCTTTTTAAGACATGCTCAAACAGTTGATGGGATGAAGCCGTCTCAAAGTATGAAGTGGATTTTTTTATCATAAGAAAACGGATTAGCATTGTGGCTGGTTTGTGCATGAAAATGTAATAAAGCTATGTTGGAACATTGATTATACTCTGCAAGAAAGCTTTTTTAAAATGGAGAAGTTTGTCAACTGATGGAAATCTTTAAACTTGCAATTTGGACCGAAGAACAGAAAAGTGAAATGACAAGGGCAATTTACAGATCCATCTTACGAAATTGCATATTGCAACATCACAGATTAAATTCACACCTTCACGATTGTTTGCTTGCTGACATTCATAGGCTCCATAAAACTAAAAGGAGAAGTAAGAAAAGAAAAATGAAATAGCATATGCGATAGCCAAAACAAACCTCAATGGTGGTATTTGGAAGAAGCTCAGAACCATTATCAGGCTCAAAATCTATGCCCTCCTCTCGCAATTTTGATACTATAGATGAATAGTTCTCTGAAGAACCAACAATCTTATAATACCTGGCAAACGGAATTAAAATCAACCCTTAGGTTTAAGGTCTATTTCTAAATATTTGAATCTCCTTGTTATGATGGAGTAATCAAATAGAAAAGAAAATTGCAACATATTTTAAGTGTGCGAACTAAAAAATCAATTAACCCCATTGCAGATAATGCCAAGGTTGTACAAATAATTGCCCTTAGCATAATGCATAACTGGGCAGGAGACCGATTCAACACTAATGTAAGATTTTACTCACTTATACCATCCACTAACTCCTCAAATAAAGTGAAATTCATAAATTTGAATGTCAAATTGTAGCTATATCCGGGGTTGATTTTAGAAGCCAAATCCTAGAAAATTTGAACAATAATAATAAATATTCAAATTGTTGACATTTTCAATTATTTTACAAACATACTATTTAATTAAGATAGATTAGTATTTTCCCTATAATCCAAACCAACCCTCAGTTCGGAATTGACCACAGCTTGTCAGCTACTAGAAAAGTCTTTGCTTCAAAGGAGCGAAACAAATTCAACCTTATCCATAAAGCTTATTACTCGGATCAAGAAGGTATTCTAAAGCTTGGGTTGACATTGGGGCACTCAGACAGTCAGTTGTAGATAATGTGTTCCATGGCTGTTGATTGTCGGCCATGGACCTCTCAAGTCAGCCACGTTCTGTAAAGTGATGCTTTCATTGAGATTGACTTATGCTTTCTTCCACGCACAAAAAAATAACTAAGGTAATTGAGGGAGGGGTAAACTTTTCACTTTGGCATGATTTTGATGAGACAAAAGTATGAATGAACCATAGCCAGTAATTCCATGTTTCCTCCACGCAGAGCACAAAACCCATAGACCGAGCAGACAGGAATTGGGTGGGGGGAGCTTCATTAGAGATATGATGATGAGGACATAAAACTTATTCTTATGAAGACCAGATATTTGATTATAACTGAGAAACACAGTAAAACAAAAATGAGAGCATTACCTTTCTGACCTATCCTCTTCAGTATCATCTTCGTAAGTTGGAGGATCAATTACATCCTCGGCTCCAGCATCTAAAGCAATTCCAAGCAGCTGATCTTTGTCAGCATCACTTACTTTAATGTTTACTACCCGAGCACGCGTAAACTTAAACAACACAGACCCAGAATCTGCCATCTTTCCTCCACAGTCCTTGACCACATCTCTAATCTTTGCTATAGAACGATTTATCTTGTCAGTTGATACCTCAACTACCATACTAACTCCTCCATAACCATAAACCTGGGGGGTAAATGCAGAAAGTTATGAGCTAAACTAATATTCCAGTTCCAGGACCCATATTTCAAAAGATAGGACACTGCAGAACTCAAGGCAGTGGCCAAACAAAAAGCTGAACCATTCTGGGGTGGTTGGGCCAGACCCATATCCTATCTAGTAATCTAGATCTTTTTCCAAACAGAGCTATTTTCCACTGCACCCAAACTTGTTTACCTTATTTCTGTTTAAAATTTATAGTTAAGAACTAAGCAAATAATAATAGCGAACAGAAACACCTGTTGAACATCGCAAACTATCAAATGTAATTCCTGTTTGGATAACTGGGATGAACCGAATTCTAGGGAAATGTATTTTGAAATAATTACCTTCGAATGATGACTAATATGCTAAGGCGTGTTTGAAAGTAAAATTACATCTTAGTAGCTAAGTAAAAATAAAATAAACTAAAAGCAGATTTCTTCTATTATTATATTTTTAAATTTGAAAAGTGAGGATGAAGTTGTAACTTAGTCATCCATTGGACAAAAGCAACAGAATGTTATGTCTGCAGAAACATATATCTGAGATGTTCAAGGCACCAGAATTTATTACGTCAATGGCGCAACCAAACAGCATTTGTACTATTCCTTTGTCTGACAGATTTGGTTTATTGCCTTTATGGCTTCAACTTAAAAGCATGATAGTGTCATCACCTTACTAGAACTGTAAAAGAAACTACCGCGGTTTAAGATTAGGGAACTCCTCATAAAACATACGACACTATCATGTTCTTAAGAAAAAAGCAATTGTCCAAATGTGTCCACAATGATGTTATACTAACCTCGTAAATTTTCTCAATATAAGCCTCTTGTCCCTTCTCAGTTGCTCTCTTGATGTTGCGCTCGACAATATCTCTAGGAACATCGAGCTCCTTTACTTTCTCAAGTACAGCAGCCAGGGCTGAATTAGACATAACATTCGGACCACCTTTCTTTACACTGTCATTTTTTAGTAGCACAAAAGTCATGCATAAGATGGTTACTTCATCCAAAAAGGAAAGCAAGACACTACTAAAACTCCTCTAGCCGGAACCAAAATGAATTGTATAATAGATCATGGTTAAAGTAGGGAAAATCAGCGCACCAATCCAGCCACAAACACAGGTAGGAAAAAACCTAAGAAAATAAAGGGATGACCGGATGATCTATTTCATTTAATGCAATTAAGAGTGCAATTACTATGCATTGACACCATAAAAACATGTTGCACAAACATTCAAGCATAACTCATTGTGGTGCCACCATGTAACATTATCACCTAAAATGTCTGCACATATATGTAAGTTGCGAAAAATGACTGAACCTCTCAGAATTTAAATTGGGCCTAACTCATCCCTACAAAACCGGCTTATATGGTGAGGATTTCCCCCACTTATAAACACAACACATGTCATATCTCAAAGCAATGTGGGACTAAATCAAGCCAAATGTCGCAATTTAGACGACTAGGAGCATACCACAATGAAGGCGGAAATTCCAATTGAAGCTATATATTTTTTGGAAACTACAATGCACAATAATAAAATTCTAAAATTAAAACCTAATGATCATAATTGTACTTGGATGAATAAATACCAATTGTCTCCTGGAACTAACTTGGGACCAATAATAACAAAACAGTGATATAACAAACACAACATAAACATGGAAAGGGACTTACGCAGACACAACTTCCTTCCCAATCCTTGAGTACAGTTTAGCTTTCTTTGCATTGTTGGCTTCCTGAACTAATGGAAAATAAGAAAACTTCGAAGTAGAAAGAATACTTAAAAAAATTGTCTACCTATACTAATCATATCAAAATTGTTTTCTGTCTAACGGGACTTTCATCAAACAGGTAACATGCATTATAATTCAAAAACAAGAATAACATTGTGACGGACCTTTCGACCGGCGATTTTGCTGGAACGTCTGCCCATACAAACAGGAGTGAAAGTCCATATCTTCCTAGCTCGACAGTTGCTATCATAATTCGTAAAGTTTACATTAGCAACATCCATCGACTGTGAAGCATCAACATTCCCTGAGAATGAAGGAGTGACTCTGATTCATTCAGGAAAATCAACAAAACAATTGAGAAAATACAAATGCGAAGTTGAGGGAGGGAGAGTAGTGGTGGTACTGTGGAGAAAGGGTGAGGAAATGGGGCGCGTGGAGGAAACGCGAGATGAGAAAGCGTGGAGGTGGTGCGTCATTCGTGATGCTCTCGACATCATCCTACTGTTGTACGGCTCCAAGTGCAATGCGAGAGAGGGGGAAACATGCAATATTGAGGCAGCGCGCCACTGAAGAAATGACATGGTTATATTTCAATTCAACAAAGTTACATGATAGAACAAAGAGAAACGGGGTTTTCCGAATAAAAGATAAAATAAAATAAATAAGAAATTTTATTTGATTTTATTGTTTTTTATTTTAGAAAATGGTTGCTACACTTATACCACGGGATAATATAGTTTTATAATGTAATTAATCACAATTATGTATTTAAATGAGTTATGTTTTTATTTTTAAATTTTTTTAATAATATGATAGAATATTTATTTTTTATTGAAAGATAATGTAAAACTATTTTATACTGTCATATATTATTTTTAATTTTTTTTTTAGAAAAGGTTGTCAAAGTTTTTTTTACAAAGGTTGTTAAAGTTTTTGAACTATAGTTTTTTCATAACTTTTTTATTTACATTTCTATTATCATGAATATTTTAATATCTATCGTCTATTTATAGAATAGTATATTTTTTATGAAAACTTATTTTAAAATAAATTAAAATTTAAAATAGATTTTGTTTAAACATAACGGTAATAAACTAAAATTTATGAGTATCTAATAATTTATCTTCATTCATTTGTTTTGTGGCACGTTGCAGTGAACGGGACGGGCGGATTATTCGTCATAATCGTGAAGATTTCCAAATTCATTGTTGGGACAAAGAGCTTGATCGTGAGAGGAAGTTGTTTCGACGGAGAGCTTGATCGCAAGAGGAAGGAGCATTAGTAGAAAGTGAAAACTGAAGACAAACCCCTTCTCACCTTGTAGAAGGATTACATTGTTTATAGATTGTGGTATTACTAGGTAGGTAAATATTGTTTCAATTTAGCTTAACAAGCACATATTGATGCTTCAATTTACTATATTTCGCATGAGGACAAAGCCACAACATCCTCTTTTCTTGAACTTCAATCTACTAGTGCACCACTTAGCATAAACACATAACATATTGTTGATTTTCTATCATCAACTTCACCACACCAATTGGAATCAGTGTATCAAACAAGCATACACAACATCCATGTATATGTTGTTGGAAATAAGATGTCATAATAATCTAATGTGCCTTAGTATCCTCTTAGTGATTGTTAGATGTGACAACTTTGACTTTTGCATGAATCAACTTATCATACATATATTGTATGCAAGGTTTGGTATTATGTGACAAACATACCTCAGTGATCCAATAGGCCTTATGTATTGTGTTGTGGATGAATAGGTCATTTATCAATTGCAATAATAGCTCAGTTGGTGTTGTTGCAGAGTTGGAGTGCTCCATCTTAAATCCCGTTAGTATCTCACTTGCATATTTTTTATGATGCATCATGTTATACCCTGAAATTTGCCCTCTCATTTCTCAAGAATTCTCTCACAAGATCTTCCATGACTCAATTTTGCAGCACTGATACATCAATTTAGGTTTGGAATTGGCACAAGGGCAAAATGGTCAAAATGCACACTGAAAAGTCAAACTTTGACTTTTTGATCAAAATCAAGTTTCAAGAATCACATTTCATCAAGACATGTTAGAATATGAAGTTGGTTCATCAAGAAAATCAAAAGTCAAAATCACTTTGGAAAAGTCAAAGTTCTAAACACTTAGAAATTTTTCTAAATATTAAGAAAACATGATAAGTTCAGAACTTTTGGCCAGATTTTCATCATGATGCAAGATGATTCAGGAATAACTTCTGACATAAGAGTTATAGATCCCAATGAGATCTAAAATATTGCAGAACAGAACTCCTCATAGAAATGCTGAGATTTCAAGTTATAAATCCTTGAAGACACGTCCATGAAACTAAAACACTTAGTAAATTCTGAGCATTTCCAAGTCTGAATTTGATTAGAACTTCTGGGTTAGTTTTCACGTAGGTACAATCAGAGTTTGAAAAAATTATTCAAAGAGGGGTTATAAAGCATGTTACAAGCTTTTTGAAAAGTCTGAGAACTCCTTCAGATCATTCTGAAGCAGAGAGATTCAAAGATCAGAAGTTGGACATTTGTTCTTAATCTAAATTACGTTTATATTGAACTTTTGATCCGGTTTCAAGCTATGCTGCATAATATCATAATGCAGGCCTTCTTGCTTGTTAAATCTCATCATAATTTAATGCTTACATTAACTTTTGAGTATGTATCCTAGTGTTTAAGCCTTTATCCAAAAGAGCTTCCCACGTGTGGCATAAAAGTACCAATGTTGTTCCTGAAAAGCAAACTTTTGTACAGTTTATTTTGAGCCCATACTTTACTTTGTTTCTGAGTGTACTTCCCCATAAATCATGCCTACAAACTCAGATTAGGCGTGTTTAAAGCTGCTAACTACCCTACCTTGCCTTGAAACCATGCTTGTCTAAATTTGCTTCAAAAACAAGTCAACGATCCATCACATGATGGTTGTACTCCTGACTTCTCCAAGCTTCTAAATCCTTTGCCTATAAATTAAACTTCATTTGCAAACTGAAGGAGGATATAGAAGAGAAAAGCCCTGAAACCTTGCTGAAAATTCCCAAGAACCTGAAACTGCAACACAAACACAAAACCTGCTAGTTTATGATTTTTGCATCCAAACTCTAATTTTCCTTGTGTGTTTCTTGGCCAAATCATCCACACAGTTTCTGGTATACACGTAGAAGCTTTCCCAACTTCTGTTTTCAAACTGTAATACAGTCTTCACCAATCTCCATTTCAAAAATCAGAACTTTGTATCTTGACTGCTCCAGAGCATTGCAACCATCCATAACTCAATTTAAAGGCTGCTTTAGCTTTCTGAGAACTTGAGGAAGCTGACCAGAACATAACAGCAATCTGAACCAGGCTCTAACCCACGGAATAATTTACAGTTGCAAGGTAAGTTTCTTCTAATTTTCATCTTATTACTTAGGCATTGTTAGGCTTGCAATTTCAAAAACACAATGTAGATATCATGGCTCTGAATCTGTACATATTTATAGATTTTATTTATATGGCCTAAGTAGAGAGAATTTCAGATCAGAACTTCTTGAGAAAATTAGGGTTCATAATTAGGATTAGTAAAATTCATGCTTGCTTCTGGTTTACAGTTTTGATGCTTTGTATTTCTGAAACCATGATGAAATTTGCCATAACTTCTATGTTTGCATTTTCCATTTTTGTTGAGAAATGACTAAGTTGCAGATACTCTGGATGATGCGAAGAAGAAGATAAAGTTCATCATCATAACTTACTTTGTAATATATGTTTATGTTTTTGCTTCTAATACCGGATGTATAGCCACCCCAATGGTAGAGAGCGCGCGCATAAGGCATTAGTGTTAATGGTCCGGGGTTCTAGCCCCAGAAGCATCTTTTATGTTTATTTCTTAACATTTTTACCCCATTATTTGTCAAACAACATTCATGGACCAGAACTTCTAGATACCCCCCCCCCCCCCCCACCTCCCCGTTTGTTTGTCAAAACAGTATTCCTGAACCAGAACTTCTAGATATTCTCATCCAACAGCACAGTCACCTCACTTATCCATTAATAGGACTTCTAGCCTTCCAGTAACACTAGAACTTCTAGGTTTCCAACTGCATCAGAACTTCTAGACTCTCTCAACAATTAGAACTTCTAAGTTTTCCTTTGTTTCCATCAACCCCAGAATTTTAACGCCTCTGGATCCAGAACTTCTGGCTTTCCCATTTCTACTAACATTTTCTTCCTGATTTGCAGCGCGCCTGGGTCAGAACTTCTGCTCTCTCTTATTTCTATTCTTTCGACAACGCGCTGACTCTAAATCTTATTCTCTTATTATTTTTATCATCACTTTTATTTTCATTAATAAAAAACAGTAAAAATACTTTATATTCATATACTTTGTTTTATTTCTTTTAAAACAAAAATACTAAAAACATTTCCTTAAGCAAATTTATTTATTCTCTTAATAAAAACAAAACAAATTTATTTTACATTTCAATTCTTATACATTATTTCAATATGGTTGTAATAGATAATTAGGGCTTTAATTTCTTGCAACCCCCATTTGTAAATTTGTACACCCCATCCTCAAGTGATTGTAATAGCGTAGGATATTTATTTTCCGTAATTTATCACTTTCATATAAATGTTAGTAATTAGGGTTTGTATGGAAAGATGAAATCAATACTTAGAAAGACCTAATTCAAGATAAATCAAGCATGAAATACAAACACTTGCACACTTGCATCTCTAGGGTTAACACCAGTTGTTGCCTTATGAAAAAATGGTGATGTTATGCATGTGAGGCGTCTTAGAAAAAACAATAAAAAAAATACAAGATCATAGTCCCTGGATAACGCTTTGAATGTTGCCTTATAAATGATCTTAGTCCCTCAAGAGAAATGCTAAGATATCTCACAACATTACTATCATGACTATACGATGACTCACACCCGTCCCTTTACATCCTAAGATAAGGCTTCTTATCAATCAATGGTAAGATAGCAATATAAAAGGAAGGAATGAACAAAACACTTTTTGAGTAGGTAGAACGTTCTTAGTTGCTTGCTCACAATCCATCTTCAAAACAAACATCTTTTCAAACACACCAAACACTTTCAAAACATGAAATATTTTCAAAAGTCCAACACTTTGTATGCATTCTTATAGAGACGAGAATCATTACAAAGTTAGCCTAAAACAAAGGCACTTTTTCAACATACTTTCAAAACTCATCCCAAAGCACACTTTCAAACAAAAGCAATGATCTAGCAAGCAACTAAGATCCCATAGATAACTATGGATGAAAAGGGTGCTAACACCTTCCCTTTTCATAATCTACCCCCCGAACTCAAGAAAATAATCTCAAAGGTCCTTCCTGTTTTTTTCACCCCTTCCTTTATTGGATAAAAGAAAAGTCGATGGAGACTCTTGCTATCCGCAATAATTGCGATAAAACGCAAAACACCCAAGTCAATTCTCCCACCGTATTACAGAACTGACGACTCTGCTGAGGACACTTAAAAGTGGGGTTACCTTAGGGCTAGATCAACTTTACTTGCTCTTCTTTGTTTGACTTGTTTGCTT